AGATGACAATTAGTCAACATCTTGATATTAATCATAGTAGGATTCATATTCTTTAATATTCTTCCTTGAGTATTAATTAATTCCTATTCTTATTTCATGTTAATATCTTAAACATTACTTAAAGTATCAACTAGTATTGTTTCTCATATTAATTATTACTAGAATCAATCGGTTAATACGCTTGTTATTAATCCGGTTCTTTCAACGGTAGTAAACTTGGAATATTAATGCATGCATTTCATGGTTAATATGCCAAGGGGAATTAATTATATTGATTAAACTAATAAACCGCTTGTGTTGAGGTTATCAATCTCAATCGTTTTCATCTTAAGTTTATTGCTACTATCAAGTTAATATACGGCGCTTGTTCTATATTGACTCGATAGTAAGTTTATTAATGAACGCATCTCGTTATTAATAACTACCTTCGATGAACTGGATATACTCCTCGATTGAGTATTCGAGAGGAAGATAGTTAAAGATATAATCGGGATCGACGAACATTTCATTAAGTGGATAAAAGCAAAACCAAGTCCTCATATCATTAAATTAAACTCATATAAGTTGTTTATCTTAGTGTTTTTAAAGCAAACAAATCTAAACCCCCCTTGTTACTACTTATATAGAAGAAAAGTATTCCTTTCCCTGTGGATACGAACTCTACTACGCTATACTACGTATAAGTGTTTAGTATTGAATTTACTTTGAGTGCACCTCACGACAAGTGCACGTCAAATTTGGCGCCGTTGCCGGGGAAAGGCAATTAATTTTTCTTTTATTTCATTTCAAAAAAAAAATCAAAAAAATATATATAACAAACAAAAATATAAAGAGTGTTTATTTTTCTATTTTCTGAGCTTAGTGGAGTTTATGGTTAAACATCGTTCCATAAACGAAATCACATATCACAAAAACCCAGAAATAGAACAAACTTTCGAGCGGTTGAAAAGTAAATTTTCTAATACCGACTCGGAAGAAAACCCCTTCCCAAGCTAGGAATCTCATCTCGGAGTTGGCCGAGAATTCTAGACACTACAATGGGAGGTCATCATCAAAACGGGTCATGGCAGCGGAATCCAACATCTCGTTGGAAAATCAAGTAGCCGGCTTGACTTCTTTGGTAAGGGATTTCCTTTTAAATCCAAAACACCAAGAAGTCAAGGTCTGCGGCATATGCTCAACACAGGGGCACCCCACCGATTCCTGCCCAACACTACAAGAAGAGAATTCCGAGCAAGTCAATGCTTTGGGATTTCAAGGCCAAAAGAGGTATGATCCACACTCTAACTCCTACAATCCTGGGTGGAGAGATCACCCAAATTTGAGATATGGGAACCCTCAAAGTCAGCCCTTGCAACCAACTTTCCCAAATCACCAAGGCCAAACGTCAAGCTCGAGTATGTCCACCGAAGACATGATCCGAGCACTCACCTCAAATGTCTCAACCATGCAACAAAACATGGTTCGATTTCAGCATGAGACCAAATCCAGCATTCAAATTTTGGAAAGCCAAGTCAGTCAAATTGCAAATGCCGTAAACCGACTTGAAACAAAGGACTCGGGTAAACTCCCATCTCAAACGGAGCAAAACTCGAGACAACATGTGAATGCTATAATGTTGAGAAGTGGGGCGACGTTGAAAGAGGTAGAAGAGAACGATAAAGAGATAGAGGGTGTGGACCCTGAAAGTAGTCCCACCGGAGGAGGAGATCACAGAAACCAAGCTCCCCCCACCCTCATTATATGAACAAGCAATCCCGTTTCCTGAGGCGCTGAGGGAGACAAAGAATCTAGAGAAAGATGCTGACATCTATGAAACCTTCGCAAAGTGTGAGGTAAACATTCCGCTTCTTAACTTAATGAAAAATGTCCCTCATTTTGCTAAATTTTTAAAAGAATTATGCAAAACAAAAAGGAAAGATAAATTGAAAGGAAAACAAGAGGTTAGAGTTAGTGAACGTGTCTCGGCCATTTTTCAGAGAAAACTCCCCGAACAATGTAACGACCCAAGCATGTTCACTATCCCTTGTAAAATAGGAGACACCACATTTCCTAAGGCCTTGTTGGATTTAGGGGCATCAATAAATGTCATCCCCTATTCTGTTTATAAATCTGTGCAACTTGGCCCATTACATCAAACCGGTGTAGTGATTCAACTGGCGGATCATTCTAGTACTTACCCGAAGGGTGTAGTAGAAGATGTGTTAGTAGAAGTAGAAAATATGGTTTTTCCTGTTGACTTCTATATCCTTGAAATGGGAACTGATGATCAAACAACACCCATCCTTTTGGGTACACCCTTCATGAAGACCGCAAAAACAAAAATTGACGTTTCTAGTGGTTCCTTAACTTTGGAGTTCGATGACCAAAAAGTGGAATTCAACATCTTGGACTCTACGAAAAAACAAAAGCAAAATCTAACTCTTTGTTCTTTAAATGTTGTTGAACCACAAGAACCGGTATTTTTAAAAGAAGCGGATAAAATCAGATTTTCTCAAGAAGGGACAAATAAACACGAGAAGCCATCTTTGATAAAAAGGGACGTGTTAAAATGTGAACTAAATCCACCTATGATGGAGGTGGTAATGAGAAAGAAACCCCGGCCTTACTGGAAAAGGCCGAAAATTAAATTTGAAAAATGGCTAAATAAGGCCACAAAATATGAAACAAGGGATGTTCACGATCCCACTTAAAAAAAATGAATAACGTCGTGCCACGACGTTAACTAAGGCGCTACTTGGGAGGCAACCCAAGTTTATTTTTTCATAAATTCGAGTGTTTATAATTCATTTTTTGTTTAATTATTTGAGAGATCAGTTCTATTTGTGGGAGGTTGAGAGAGAGGACACTAATCACAGGTTTTTGGAGGAAAAGAAAAAAAATGCAGGTTTGGAGCATCTGGGGACATACCCGATCGAGTACCACCTTATACTCGGTCGGGTATGGCCAAAAGAAGGGGAACCGGGCATTACTCGATCGAGGAAGAATTCAATTTTTGAAAGAAAATAGACATACTCGATCGGGTATCACTATATACCCGGTCGGGTATGTACAGAAAGGCCAAGGTTGAAGAAAACTGATTCCCACACTCGACCGAGTACATGCCTCAAAACGTAGAAAAGAACACATACCCGATCGAGTATGGAATGATACCCGATCGAGTACCAGAGGCAGGCTGCTCAAAAACCCCACTTTCCAGACATACCTGACCGAGTAACAACACATACTCGATCGGGTATACGAGCGTTTTAACCCCAAATCCTCCCCAAACACTTCATCTTCCCCAAATTCCCAACCCCAAATTCGAAACCCTCTCCCCCAACCTCCATTTTTAACACTTCTCTCTACCATATCTCCTCCATTTCTTCACCAAATCACCCCATTTCAACACCAAAACACTCCCCTCATCTTCCTCTACACACCCATACCCACCAATCCAATTTTCCCCCAGTTTTAAGAGGTCCGAAAAAACCCTACCCCAACCTTCAATTTTCGGATTTCAAGCCCAAAATCACACAAAAATGGCTCCAAGGAAGGAAAAAGGACAGAGCTCCAACACTAGGGCATCCATCCCAGGCTATGAGGACATCATCTTCACCGACAACGAACACCACACCCGCTTCATGTCCACCATTGAAAGGCAAGTAAAACCCTCTCGTTTTTTATGCCATGATGCCCTTAATGAGTTAGGTGTGTACAAAAGCACTAAGAAATTTTTTCATGAGTTGAGCATGGATAAGATTTTCAAAATTCAATATCACTCGAATGAAAATATTATCTATGAATTCATAAGCTCGGTGCAATTTGAGACCGATGAAGCGGATTTTAAGGATGATAAACTCAAGTTTCGTCTGTTTAACCACAACCACTCCATAACGAAACTTGAGTTCGCCGAACATTTTGGTATTCCGGTCCCTTACCAAAAATCCATATCCGACAATACCGCTTTCGACCATACCCTATGGACAAAGATGACCGGGGAGACTAAATTTAGCTCCTCCCAACTGGATATTAGTCATGTCCAACATCCCGTCCTCCGCCTATTCTTGAAATTCCTTGCCAATTGCTTGCTTGGACGTCCCAACAACCATCACACTAGGATGGGGGATGTATGCCTAATGTTTGTGGCCCTATTCCGTGTTCACGTGGATTTCAACCTGTGTAATCTTATGTGGGCACATCTGAAAAAAGAAAGTGTAGCAAAGGGCATTATTGTGGTGGGTGGGGTGATTATGCAGTTAGCCACCAAGTTCGGGTATACGGATAACTCTCCTATACCCGACTATTATTTGATGAACATTTCTTGGTTGGGCCACTCGGGATGTACAGCTTTTTCCCACACAGTTTATGGTGGAGAAAGACCAAAGAACATGTACAACTGGCTCATACACTAGTAGAAAAAGCGCCTATAGTGACACTAATTTAGTGTCGCTGAAACTTTCAGCGACACTAAAAAAGCGTCGGGGAAAGTGGTGGCTAGCGACACTATATTTAGTGTCACTGATGCGGGGACGGTTTTGTGTCAGCAAATAGTGACACTAATTTATCGGCTAAAATAGCGACATTTATGCATCAAGAACACATTGTGACATTAATACATCATAGATTTTTATGACACTTTCAGCATCATAGATTTTTATGACACTTTCAGTATCATAAATTTTTATGATACTTTCAGCATCATAGATTTTTATGACACTTCAATGTCACTTGGTTGGTTTTGTTAATTGGGCCTATATAGGCCTAGATAATATGCCCATGGTAGCTTTAGTAGAATTCAAATTTATTGCTTACTTCATTCATACATATTATAACATCCAAAAATTAATGGATACCCAAAACACATCATTTAACATATAATATTCAGTAACAATTTCACATTCTTGTTCAATTACATTTCCTACCGCCGGATAAAAGATATAGAAAAATTCCAGCATGCAATATTCCCGCAAAAAACCGGCTATTGAAATTCAGCAAAAAAACTACTTACCAAGCATCATTGAAGATGCTAAAATACAAACAAGTCACATTCCCAACAGGTACCAATGTTTAGTTATCAAAAGTTTGACCTGCCTCTACATTCTACAAACATAACATAACACCGACCATTCTAACCGCCATCAACAATAATCAGAAATGCATCTCCCCGTGCATATCATCAAGCCTTTGTAGGATCCGCTTGCACACTACATATCAAACAAAATATAATATTACATCCATATATTATGAAACTTATTTTCGGTAAATTTTAAATGTGAACTTACTTTTTTATCAAAGTAGCAGCATACAAAGCCCACTCCTCACGCACTTGTAAAATATCATCTTTGGTATACTCCTTGACGGTAGAGAACTTCAATGTAAAATTAAATTAATTAGCACTTACTATCATTACAAGATACACTAATTAATTAATTGCGCTCACATTCTGTTTCAAACGATTCACGTCAGATACAATATCCTTCATGTACTTCATCACAAAGTAACCACACTCAACTCCTCTTGTTTGCTTAGGGCACTGCATATATTCAATTTAAATAGACAGTAAATACAAACTAAGATTTACTAAAAACAAAGAACAAGTTATAGTAAAAAAATAATACAGTCAAGTATTGAATGGATTGCAATAATTCACTTCTTTAACTCACTTCTTTAAAACAAATTGTAATAATTCAATAGGAGTATGCTTCATGGATTGGCCTTTCCAAAGGTATTTTATTCTTTTTTATCTTTTGGACTAGATTCCCTTGGGAGGTTGAGCCATGATTTTTATGCAACTTGAGACTTGCAAGTAGGAATGGCTATTACCCTATTTGCGCATGACATGTGAAACAGATAGACATCATCACCATTTGATCCAGATTTTTCACTATAATATTATTATTCATAATCTGGAATCATTACTCACTCTCATTAATTCAGAAACTACCTTCTTCATATCCTGTGCATCTACCTCTATCATTTACATTGATTTAATTAACTAACAAACTAATAATAATAGAATTATAAACAAATATTTTCTGGCCGGGACAGTTCATACTGATTAAAACTTGTAGCATACAAATCACAGCTGCTAATTTAAAAACTTGCAAATGATAAATATTGTTCCTAAGGATGGAGTATCTAAAATAAGAATAGAACTATTAAGCGAAGTTGAGATTCAGCGAAGTTTCATGGTTGCAACTTACAAGAGATGAGTATCTAAATTCAGAAAATAACTGAACAACCATGGTTCATAACAAAGACCCATTAATTTTAGTGAACTGCCTTTCCGTACTACAAAACACTAGTTCAGATTTCTGATCTTTAGTCAAAAGGATCTCATGTACAAATCACAACCGCTAATTTATACTAAAAGTGATAATAAACATCAAAGGATACATACCATCACTCTCACCCATTTTAAATTCAACCTTTTCTTGGATTTTTGGGCATGATTAATCGTCACCCCTCTGAAAAGGAAACACAATCATTATTAAAATTCAACCGATCCAATATTTTCTCATCATTTAAAGGGCCTATGTAACTTAATTGATTCATGATTTCCTCCAAATCCTTCGATGGAATTCCTCCCAAGGAATCTAGGTAGTAAATCGTTTCAGCCGCCATGTCGATGGCGACCAACACCCAATGATTCCTACATAACAATGAAACTATATGTAATTACAAAAGCAGCATTGTTTGCAAATACAAGTCACTTGCAAAAGAGATTACTTACCCGGTATTATAGGGGATTAAAGTCATTTGTCCAAGCAAGGAAATATCCAAAAGATCAGCTATGTATTGTGACCTCCTAGTAACCGCTTGGTCTGATGCCCTCTTTGGTATTGCTATGGCAGCAGAAGTACCAAGCTGGACTGGCATGTCCCCTCCATCAGCCTCCATTTTCTCATGCAAGTACCTATTAAGTTATTACTAATCAAGTTGAATTAAGTTTATTCATTTTGATGTTTATAATAAGATACTCTTACCGCTTTATACTGTAATACAATAATGATTTTAATGCAATTGAATGTAATATATAATAAATGGGAACTTATTACCTCGCCCAAATTTCAACAACTGAATTTGAAACCTGCTGAAAGTTGATAACAGAGCGGCAAACCTCCTTGTTAAACATAGTTTTTGTTTGGAATCCAAAAATTTCAGCATCTTGCTTGATGCTGTTCATCTCTCCTAAACAATTTTCCACTAAAATGCAAAACATCATCATGTTAGCACTTTGTTCCTTTCTTTTTTCAGCAACGGACCTGGTCATTCGTTGCACATTTAGCTGGGACTTAGCTTTCATTGCAGTCCTTATCTCTTTCACAAATACCACCTCGCACCCCTGTTTTTGTTTTCCATCCACTCGGTCATTCTCTATATTTGTTATTGACTGATCTTCCTCTTCATTCATATCCTGTATGTAACATAGAGTGTGCATGTAATTTACAAACATTACTATCGTATTTAATCAAATAAACATATGCAACTAGACGTCTAACCATATCATGGGAGTGAGCATTGGCTTGTCCTAAAGTATCCGTGTTTATGTGCTGAGGGGAATTTCTGGGAACGCTTCCAAATAGCTTCTTCCGATGAGTAAATACTGGTTTCTCCACCTCTCCAACAGTCTATATCATAGAAGTTAACTATTTATTAATAACTATATCTCATTAAACATTCACTTAGAGATGTAGTTGTACATACCTTCTGCATTCCATGACTCCCACCCTCGGGTTGTTCATTATTACCCTCCATTTCAGCATGTTTCAACTTAAGAACATCTTCGCCGGAGAGGGTTGCTGGAGGTCCCTCTCTCTCAACTTGATTATTGAAGACTTTCTTTAAATCTCTAAACCTGTGGTTTTTCGGTAAAAAGCGACGATGGCTCATATAGACACATTTTTTACTACATTTCAGCCATATTGAACGAGTGCCCGACCCACAAACAGGACATCCAAAATACCCCTTCACGGTGCTACCAGACAGATTACCATAAGCTGGGAAGTCACTTATGGTCCACATCAATATAGCTCTTAACCTGAAGGTCTCCTTTCTAAAACTATCGAAAACATCTACACCATCATTCCACAAGGTTTTAAGGTCATCAATCAGGGGTTCTAAATAGACATCTATATCATTCCCAGGAAGTTTAGGACCAGAAATTAAAAGAGATAACATCATGAATTTTCTTTTCATGGTCAACCAAGGGGGGAGATTATAAATGACTAACTGAACAGGCCAACAACTATACGAAGAACTAAGTGAACTGTGTGGATTTACTCCATCACTTGAAAGAGCTAACCTCAGATTCCTAGGATCTTGACTAAAATCAGGCCACATTTTATCAATGTGATGCCAAGCTTGAGCATCAGCAGGATGACGCAATTTACCATCTTTAATGCGATGGTCTGCATGCCATGTCATGTCTTCAGCGGTTTTAGTAGACTGGAACATACGTTTGAACCTAGGAATTGGAGGAAAGTACCACAATACTTTCTCAGGAATTCTACTAGTAGCTGTTATGGATCCATTCTTTGTCTCTTTCCACCTAGACTCTCCGCACATAGGGCATTTTTCAAGATCACTGTGTTGCTTATGAAAGAGGATGCAATCATTGCGACAAGCATGTATCTTTTGGTAATCCAAACCTAACACCTTCATTATTTTTTTAGCTTCATACATTGACTTGGGAATGGTGTTATCGGTGGGTAGTAGACTCGAAAGAGCTTCTAATAAAGCTGAGAACCCTTGATCAGACCATCCATATTTTCCTTTTATTTACATTATACAACAACAATAATCCTGAAAGCCTTGTATAACTTGAACCTGAGTATAATGGTTTCTCAGCATCTTCAACTACATCCTTAAACCTCTTTGGGTTACCATCTAGTTCTTCATAAACATCGCCTAACATGTCACCAATTTCATTTTGATCATGAAAATTTGATTGAGAGGGATTAAAGGTTGGAGTTTTTGCAGTCTCTCCATGCCTAGTCCAAACAAGGTACGTTTCCAAGAAACCAACTTTTAACAAATGTACTTTTATTTGTTCAGGCTTATGAAATTCCATGTTACAACAATTTCTACACGGACACCTAATTGATCTACGATTTTCTGAGTTGAGCATAGAAAATTGTAAGAACTCATCAACTCCATTTCTGTATTCTTCAGACAACCTGTTTCCATCCTTTATCCAAGACCTATCCATCTCTCAATTCCTGATAATTATTAGATCCCAACAAAATATTTAACATACATGCTTAAATAACATATGCAAACACTTGGAAGAAATCAGGGGGAATACTTTAACCAAAGAACTTTGTTCAGTTTAATGTTATTACTTTCATATTTTCTACACATTTTAATATTAACCAAAGAACTTTAGTTAACAAAACTGAAAAAATATGTTTAGTAACTTTGTTTTAGTCTATTTAGTTAACATATTGAGTACTCTCCTAGTTTAGATAACGAACTAAAAAGATTTGTATAAGAACTTTGTTTTGAACTCACTGATAAACTAATAATGCCTTGAAAGAATAGTAGATTTCATTTTCATTTACAACTTTGTTGGACCAATAAAGAATCAAATTGTAGCAGGGATAGAGTAAGTACTCACAAGAAAATGATAAAAACAGGTCCGCCTTTAGAACTTTGGAGGCCCTAGATGAAAAAAATAAGATCAATAAATTATGTTAATGTCATCCTATAACAAAAAATAAAATATATATAGATATTTAGTTTGGTCTTCTATATTTTTTAGTGAGAATCACAAATCAAACAAAATAACTAATTTGCTATGATCACCGAAAGATAGATAAATATTTATATTGGATGGCACCATCCAATAAACTAAAGCTAAAACTACTTTATGTATTTACTACATTATTTGATTTATCTAAACAAATTAAGAAGTCATGTTAAGCATGGCTGGGTCATTTCTTGTTGACTTAGCAGCTTCAGAAGTCGTGGCTGCAGTTCCACCTTCCATTTCAGACTGCAGTATATAAAAAAAATTATCTGTTAAGCATATTAATTAACTTAAATCTGAAACATACTAACTGTAAACATGTAAACATGTTGTACATGTAAACATATTAAGCATATTAACTGTTAAGCATACTAACTTAAGCATATTAACTGTAAATAAGTTTAATATTAACTGTTAAGCATACTAACTTAAGCATATTAACTGTAAACAAGTTTAATATTAACAGTCAGTAATGTTGTACATGTAAACATATTAAGCATATTAACTCTTAAGCATACTAACATGTTTTACTTATTAACTGAAGTCTGAAACATACTAACTTAAGCATATTAACAGTAAACAAGTTTAATAAGCATATTAAGCATATTAACTGTTAAAGTGTTAAACTGTAAACAAGTTTAAGCATATTAACTGTTAAACTGTAAACAAGTTTATGTGTATAACTGTATAAGCATATTAACCGTAAACAAGTTTAATAAGCATATTAAGCATATTAAGCATATTAACTGTAAACAAGTTTAATAAGCATATCAACTATTTTTACTGTAAACAATTTTATGTTTCAGCATGTGTAAGCATGTAAGAAGTACAAAATGTTTATGTAGAGTACATAATAAGAGTCTACTGTGTTCATGTTTTACATGTGTACATGCTGAAAGATGCTTAAAAATGTGTACTTCACTACTTCTTAAATGTGAAAAAGAGATAGAGAAACATGTTTTACATACTTCTTAAACACATGTTTACAGAACATGTGAGAAGAAAAAAAACATATTGGTAGTATGTAAAGAAGATGTAGCCGTTGAAAAATGAAAACATAAATAAAATGGAAGATGAAGGAGAAGAAAACTTACTTTGATCGGTGAGTGCTGGGCTGCTGCAAGCTGCGGTTGATGTGGCTGGAAGCTGCGGTTGATGTGGAGGGAAAGGAGGATGTAGCAAGCAGGTACAGTAGAGCAGAGCAGGAGCGGAGTAGGAGGATGTTTACGCTATGTGTTTATTGTAGGTTATTAAGTTGTTTTGACCTTATTTAGTTGGGCTTTGTTAAAAACGTGGGCTTCTTAATGGTCTTGTTTGACCCCACAAGTGAAAACAACTCCGTAAAACCAGAAATAAAAATCCCCTGTCAGGCACCTTATGCGATCGCTTAATATCGCTTCTGCGCTTCTGCGCTTCTTGCGCCTTACCTGCGCCTTACAAGGGATGCTACGACTTGCCATGTTTAGGGCGCTGGTTATCCCTAGCGCTGCGCCTGGTGCGCTTAAGCGCTTAGACGCACGACTTTGACAACCTTGCATAAGTCCAACTCCCTAATAGCAGTAACTTTTATCTTTTATAGTTTATTAGTTTTATTTGAGTAATATTTACATCAAGTGATCAAGTTGTCTAGGAGGGAGGTCTTTGATGCATCCTCAAGTAATTTTTTCACACTATGGCATCATTTATCCAAGACTTATCCATTTGAATACTAATACCTAGTTTATAGTACAAACAAAAACTCAAAATAGTATACATAAACTACAAAACATGAAAATTAGCTTATAAATATTGTAATTTGGAGTTCTACGTTTCAGTTTAATGTTATAGAAATTAAATATATATAAAATCCTCAAAAACTGAAGCACACATTTGAATAAACAAAGTAAATCAGTTTTTCCCTCTCCCAAGTCATACCAATATCTATAAATAAACAAAGCAAATCAGTTTGGGATATGTAAAAAAATTATACATTAACCATATTTCCTTATTGAATTAGAGTTGCAATTTGATATAAATGAACTCAAAAATATATTCTAATAGGGTAATAGTGTAATGTTAAAACAACTTGAAACTAAAAACTAAAATATTTTGATTACATTTTGTCCATACAACTCACTGATAATTTCCATCAATGGGAGACATTCCTATGCAGTATCTTTTACTCTCTTTTTACTTTTTACACTTCAATTTAAAACTTAGACATAGTGCTCAAGCTAGAAACTTTATACATTAGATCTCAACCTTTACTCAGTTTGATACAATGTTTAAATCGTCATAAAGTTTGAAGCAATGTTTATGTCGGATCAAATTTATTATAATCCATTCTTTTATACTTGTTCCATTCTTCCTTTTCACCCCTTACAGCTTTATTTCTCTTACCTTTCATATACTATCTAGGAGTACTTTTTTTTTAAATTTTGGCAGCAGGTACTACCTTACCATCTTAGATTTAATTTGCGTGAAAACTGTCTCATATCCTGCTG